ACACACACACACACACAGTGTTGGGGTAACGCATTACATTACTTTTTTCATCAGATTACTTTTTTCAAGTAACTAGTAAAGTAACACATTACTTTTTCAAATCTAATTACTTTGTTTTCCTATTTATTTATGCAGAGGCACTTCCTTCAGCCGGCTTATTAATTTCACTTTTGGTGTGAAAAGGTTTTTACAGTTGCCAAAAATATACTTTTTGTGATTTTTGTTATTACAGTTAAAATTAATAAGCAAGCCCAGCTCAGGTAACAAAAAGTAACACAAAAGTAAAGTAATGCATTACTTTACATAAAAAGTAACTATATATATATATATACAGGTGCATCTCAATAAATTAGAATGTCGTGGAAAAGTTCATTTATTTCAGTAATTCAACTCAAATTGTGAAACTCGTGTATTAAATAAATTCAATGCACACAGACTGAAGTAGTTTAAGTCTTTGGTTCGTTCAATTGTGATGATTTTGGCTCACATTTAACAAAAACCCACCAACTCACTATCTCAACAAATTAGAATACTCCATAAGACCAATAAAAAAAAACATTTTTAATGAATTGTTGGCCTTCTGGAAAGTATGCTCATTTACTGTACATGTACTCAATACATGGTAGGGGCTCCTTTTGCTTTAATTACCGCCTCAATTCGGCGTGGCATGGAGGGGATCAGTTTGTGGCACTGCTGTGTGTGTTTCTGTTTCTGTGTGTAGATCCGTCTGCATTCTCTAGTTTCCACACTGATCCACCAGCAGACCTTCAGCCTCCTGAACTTCCACCAAAGGACAGAAGACGCAGACAAGCTCCTCAGGTGCCTGCTGATGTCCTTCAAACTGAGACCTTTAGTTCTGCTTCATCTCAGATCCAAGCACGTGATCTTCAGGAGATTACAGACAGAACTTCTTAATTTCATGTGATCATCCACTAACATGATGAAGATTCTGTGTAAAATCTGTTATGGCTTATTTTTATCTTCTCATCTTCACACGTGTAAGAAGTGTGTGTTAATGCTGTGAGCTCTCACAGGAAGTCAGGTATGATGTGTGAGGTCAGTCGTGTCACTTTGACTCAGTCTGACTTGTGTTTCGCTCTCGTTCAGGATCCGGTCGAGTGTGTCAGTCCAGTGGTCAAGAAACCGCCGGTACGTTCTGACCTCACTGCTTTCTGATTACCACGCTTTCGGGAAATAAGTCGCACCTGAATATAAGTTGCACCGACACAAAATTGCATATAAGTAGCATTTAATTATTACAATCAGAAATCATGTAATATTTTAATAAATAGAACAAAACATTATAAACACTGTAAATCAGTAATACTATTACAGTTTTCATTAATATTTAGAATGTTTAGATTTTTATATATTATCTGTTTTTATTTAAATTTTTGTTAACATTTTTGTAATTGTTTTGTATTTTTGTCATTTTATTATTATTATTTTTTAATTAATTTTAATCTCAGTTTTAGTTTTATTTATTTTAGCTCATCAAGTTAAATTAAATGAAAAATGCTAAATGTTTCCTTGGAAACTATCTGAAATAAATGATCAATTATTTTTAATAATTATATTAAAAATAAATTATAGTGGCATTTATTATAAACACCAAGCACAAACTGTGTTAAAGTTCAATGTGAGAGGAGATGAAAACTGAAAAATTATATTATAATATAATATAATATTATAATATAATATAATATAATATAATATAATATAAT